ACCAACGCACCGAAAAGAGAAACAAGCAGACGACTACAATGATATCACTGGTCAATACTGCGGCTACCGGGGTGCAGTTCTCTCCGTTCGACAACGTATGTGCATCGTCCGAGACTTCGTCCATGAGGAAGGCACCCGCCAACTTTCCCTAGTGTCCTTTACTCACGAGACCACCACCCGTCTACCCGCCCCGCTTCGCACTGCTATTTCGGAAGCGGATGCCCAAGCTATTCCTCTTGCGCACCACGAGCCGCCTCTATCTGGCGGTGTTCCCTGCTCACGTGTCCCGCAACTGAAAGCCGCCCCTGTAGCCTATCCGCCAGCCATGCAGACTGTGGCCGCGCCCCTTACGTATGCAGCGCAGCCTGTGGCCCCTCCTATGGCCTGTTCGCAAGAGATGCAGCCATTAACCGCGCCGCTCACATATGCACACGCTGTGTGTAGGCTTCCGCAACCGCCCTACTTCAAGTGCTCACAGCCCCCACACCCGGCTGCTTATTATACTGCACCTTGGGTGGCACCACCAGTTGCTAATCCTTGGAGGACGACTGATTACCGACCGATTTGCTACGCCTGCTCAACTCCCGGACAGGTTGCCCGCTACTGCCACCGTCGACCTCAGACGTTCGGCGACTATGCCCGGTCGCCGCAACCCGGCAGCCATCCCTTCGGCCAATACGGGCTGGTCTCGTCACCTCGCTATGCCCCTACTGACCACCTTGACTTCCAGCTGCAGCGCGCACCCTCTCCTCGTCGGCGATCGCACTTCCTCAGCGTCGCCAGCCCAGACCCTCCGACCAGCAATTCTAAGCACTGCCGTTCAAGAGGCAAAAACTGCGCCATTTTTCAACTGTCTAAGCCCTCGCTTCTCTCCTGCTAACGTGGTCGCAGTAACTGTTGAAGGTTATTCTACTTTTGCCCTTGCGGACACCGGCGCCACTGTTTCTGTTACTGCCTTTGAAAGAAATTTATGTAGCGCGAGGCAAAAAACGGACACAGGAAGGAATAGACTGAGAGGACAGAACGCTTTTGAAAGACATTTAATCTGCGCGCGGCGAAAAACGGGCACAGGAAGGAATAGACTGAGAGGACAGAGCGCTGTCTTCTGTCTATTCCTTCCTCTGTACGTTTTTGGCTCGCACTACATAAATTTCTTTCAAATGCATCACTAACAAGCCCTCATCGCCACTCTTGTCTGTTACTGCCGCTAATCTCTGCCATTTAATAGGCAAAGTCATGAAGCCGCTTTCGGGACTGTCGCTCCACACCGCAAGCGCACAGCAAGTCACGCCTCTCACAGCCTGCACAGCAAGAGTGTCCATCGAAGGCACTCTTTACATCGTTAAGTTTATTGTCCTCACTGTCCGCATGACGTCATCCTCGGGTGGGACTTTCTAGCCATAATGCCATCATCGACTGCGCATGCACTGAAGTTGAGTTTCACCCTTGTGTGATGTCTCATTAATTGACGCTCTTCATCAGCCGCTGAAGTTCTTCGTTCATGAAGGTACCGATACTCCACCTGGAAATTTTTCACTTGTTCCAGCTTCATGCCACACATACACCGGTGCTACAGGCCTTTTTATGCCTTCAGGTATCTTCACGAGTCGACGAGTTTTGTCATTGCCTTTCGCAACGATTGACCTTGCCACCAGAAGAAGCAATATGTTCGTACTCAATCCGCTTTACACACCTGTCACTTTAATTGCGGGGGAATGTCTCGGCCGCATGCAGGATCTCAACCCTTCGTATTTGGTTGATGTCCCGGATGACAACGGCGACCACCTAAAAGCACTTTCGGCACTCGAGGAGGCGTCCAAAGATACGTTTTCAGTGCCATCGCTGACACCCTCTCTACCACCGAACATGCCGACCTGCTGGATCTTGTGCTTGAGTTCCAGAATTCTTTCGATGCGTGGCAACCTCATCTGGGCCGCACGTGCAGGTGAAATATGCTGGCACCGGTCTACACCAGCCACTGCGTCAAAGACCACATTGTAGCTCCACTGAACAGCGCCCCGTCATCAACGATCAAGTCGAAGATATGCTTCTTAGAGACGCCATTCGACCATCTCAGAGTCCCTGGGCGTCTCCTGTCGTACTGGTGCGTGAGTAAGATGTATCTAACCGAGTTTGCGTGGACTATCGTGGTTTAAATAAGATAACTCGCAAGGACGTCTATCCTTTGCCGCGCGTTGACGCCATTGACACCCTTCACGGAGTGGAATTATTCTCACCGCTAGATTTGTGGTCTAGCTACCGGCAAGTCTCAATATCAGAAGTCGATCGCCAAAAAACTGCATTTATTACACCTGATGGACTATACTAAGTTACCGTCGCGCCCTTCGGGCTTTGTTACGCGCCTGCCACGTTTCAAGGTTTTACGGATAATACGCTACGCGGCCTCAAGTAGAATAGGTGCCTCTGTTACTTGGACCATGTCGTGGTTTTCTTCCTTGACTTTCCTACGAACTTCCTTCACCTCAGGCACGTTTTGACTTGTCTGACCAACGCTGGCCTTCAGCTTAACCTGAAAAAATGCTGCTTCGCTGCACGTGAGCTCGTCATCCTAGGCCACATTGTGTCCAAGCATGGCGTATTACCTGACCCAGCAAAGCTTCGAGCAGTCGCATAATTTCCCAAGCCAACAACCACGAAAGGAACTTCACAGTTTTGTACGCCTATGCTCCTATTTCCGGCGCTTAGTTCGCAATTTTGCATCCATCATGTCACCATTAATCGATTTTCTTCACGGTGACGTGAACCTTTTCTCCTGGTCCCCTGCATGGGACGTTGCCTTCACTACTCTGCGACGTCTGCTCCCCTCCGCACCTATTCTTCACCACATCGATCCGACGGCTCCTACCGAAGTGAACACCGACGCCAGTGGCGTCGGGCTAGGCGCTGTTTTCGCTCAACAAAAGCTCAGCTATTCAGAATACGTTGTAGCCTACGCTCACCGCACTCTGACAAAAGCCGAAACTAATTACACCGTGACCGAAAACGAGTGTTTGGCTCTGGTGTGGGCGCTTGGAAAGTTCCCTCCGTACTTATACAGCCGCCTGTTCGATCTAGTAACTGATCACCACGCGCTTTGCTGGCTCTCCACATTGAAAGACCCTTCTGGCCGCCTTGCGCGATGGGCACTCTGCATCCAGGAGTACGACATTCGCGTCGTATACCGCTACGAACGCAAACGCTGACGTCCTGTCCCGCACACCGTTACCACCAGATTCTACGTGTCGAAACACTTGCAACCGGACGTCATCGCTAAATCTCGACTCGATTGCCACCGAACAACGACGTGACCCGTGGATCACTTCTATTCTCGAATATCCACCAGGCACGCCCAACCTTCGGGTACCTCGATCCCTCCAACGTCAAACTTTCAATTTCGCCATTCGCGATCAAGCTCATCGACGCAACTACACTCCCTATGGCCGCCGGTGGCTACTGGTCGTTCCACGCACTTTAAGATCGCAAGTATGTGCCTCTCTTCACGGCCATCTGCAATGTGGCCACGCCGGGATGTTCAAAACCTATGAACGCCTTCGCCATTGCTATTACTAGCGCGGCACGTACAATTTTGTACGCGAAATCGGGCAGTGCTGTCCTGACTGCCAGCGACGCAAATCAACACCGCTACCTGCGACTGGCGCATTGCGGCCACTTCTATGCCCTGCCAAGCCATTTAATCGTGTCGGCGTTGACCTCTACGGCCCCCTTCTATTGACACCAGATGGCAATCGGTGGATCCTAGTGGTGGTCGACCACCTGATACGCTACGCCGAAACAGCCACTTTGCCGAGCGCTACAGCTCAGGATGTCGCCTCTTTCATTTTACGTCGCTTTATCTTTCGACATGGCGCACCTCGAGAGCTCCTTAGAGACAGAGACCGCGCTTTCCTCTCCGAGGTCGTTGAAACTGCTTTTGAAATGCAACGTCAATCATCGGAATGGTTTTACCACATGCTGAATAATATGCTCTCAATGTACGTGGGATTTGATCATAGCAACTGGAACCATGTTCTCCCATACGTCACATTTGCATGTAACACTTCATTACAGACAACTATGGGATTTTCACCTTTCTTTACGGACGCCAGCCTTCCCATACAATCGATACCCTACTTCCCTACCATCCTAATGCTTGCAAGTGTCCACCTATCTCCGATGCTTCTCGACAAGCCGAATAGTGCTGCCAGCTCACCCGTACGTTCACCTCGGATGAGCAGCGACGCCAGAAAAAAAACGTAGCACAACCCTTCCAGATCCCAACTACGCCCCAAGGTCTCTTGTTTGGCTCGCCATCTCATACAGAACTCCGGGGCTCTCCTTAAAACTTGTACCCCGGTACGAGGGGCCTTACACCGTTTGGAGAAGACCTCTCGGGTTAATTTCCTAATTGCGCCAGTTTTCTAATTGGACATCATGCGCCAGCGTGCACGTGACATCGTCCATGTTTCCCGTCTGAAACTGTACCATGAGCCTCGGCTTAAACTTATTAGGTCGACATGATGGCTCCTTTTTCAGCAGGGGCGATGGCGAAGATGTGCCTGCAGCGAGCAGCATCGCCAACGCCTGGCTCTCTCGGCTCGTGCTTCGGTTCGCTGCTGTGCCGGTCTCTGAACGGTTCTTCACGCTGTCTCGCAGCTGTTCTTAGTGAACCATAAACATCTTTACATTATATATATGTATATATAACACATGGATAATAAAGAAAAGAATCACTACGGAAGATCGCCGTGGAGCTCGGCACTGAAAGATTGAATTAAATAATGTTTGATTCGCCGAACAATACAAATGGCACAGAGAATGTGCAAAAAGTTGTGTTCTGAGAGAGAGCCTTTCTTGACAAAAAGCTCAAGTGCGTCGGTGGGTAAGTTGGTTTATCATGCTAAGTCTGAACAGCGCAACTGAAAGCGGACAGACTCGAACAAGCACAAACACACACAGCGCTCTTAGGGAGGCGCATGGCGCGGTTGATGAGATCTGCATACCTGCATACTGGGGAGCCCATTTGTCTTCGTCTCCAGCCATCACTTCCTCAAAGTCAATGGCAAGGTAGTAGGCGTGGTCGGGTCTAAGCCCCCGGAGAGCGATATGCAGACAAGGGAAACTGCATATAAGAAAGGAAGAAACTGTAGTGCATGGATCGAATAAAAGACAGCATAAGAACAATTGGTAGGATAGATATCGTAACGAAAGAAATGCACAAACAAAAATTGACAGTGTCGTCAAAAACACAGCCAAAGCCACAGCAGAACGGGGTCGTGACAGTTTGTCGTAGACACACCGCTTCATCCAGTAGAAAAGGCTAGAAACTAAGAGTATATACAAAAAAAATCACTTGCTTAAAAGCCTGACACACACCTACACTTAGGAATGGCAACACAACATATCCGCGTAATTCTGCACTTCTGCTCCCTATATTCAACACTCACTGAGGAGCTGCTGCCTACTATATTTCACAATGAACTACAATATTGCTATGAGTGCAGCCAATATGACAGCTCCTGGAAAGCGGCTAGTTTCCTCAGACTCGCAGAGGTAGCGGTAGACATCCCCGCTGGAAGCGCTCTTTCAGACGCGCATAAACTTCCAGACAACACGAAAAAGTATAACTATGAAAATATACTACTGCCATTACACTTTATTATACGAAAGCTGATATTTCCCCAGAAAAAGTTGTTTCCCAGAAAAGAATTCCTGTGTAGGAGTCGGGAGTCTTGAGAGATGATGATGATGTAAAGGTATTTCATGGCGCAAGGGCCATTTTATGCCCAAAGAGTGCGAAGTCTTGGAGACTTCAGAGAAGTCTGTGCACTAGTCTTCTTGTAGTGAACTTACCTCACAAAAAAAAGAAGTCATGGTTCAGCTCGAGTAACACAAGTTTCTCGGGCAATAACGGAAAATGAGCTGCTGTGATGATGATGTTCGGTGTTTTGTGGCGCAAAGATTTTTTGATGGCCTAAGAGCGCCAGTTCATGAGGCTATAGATGTGGACAATGATTGTGATAAGCGGCTGCACAAGGGCCTTAAAATTAATCTTGCCAAGGCGGGTAAAAACATGAAGGTAATAAAAACATGACCACGTGGTGCAAGTGTGTAGCGTAAATGAATGGCAAAAGTTTCTGTTAATAAAACACCTTGGCAGACATGTATGGCATTAGCACAAGTGCCTCGATCGTTCACACCCCTGCGTCCAAGGGCCGTGAGGCAAGTGCTTTATTGAGTTTAGCCACCGCAGTGGACACCTCTCTGGAGAGGTCATGCTACGGAATGCCTGGGTGTATGACATGAAATGTACGACTTTCTCTGTGTGATAAGTGGTTCCCTACTGACGAACATTGCAGGATGAAGTGGTATTTGTTGTTGGTAGGGTAATGGAGAGTGTTGTCTTCTCAGCGTGTCCAACTGTTTACACTGGATTAAACTGTAGAGCACAGTGAGTGCTTCTTCACATCTGTCACGCAAACGTAGATCGCAACCAGACAGAACAAATACATGTGTAGTGTGTGTATCTCTTGCTCTTAACCTTGTAAGTATTACTTCTGTGTGGCGTCATTTTGATACTGGCGGCAAATGACCAAGCTGCGGCTTCATAACATGCAGTATATTACCAGTGTATGTGTCCCATAATCTCTGTCAATAATCCCTGAGCTTTCGTTTTATAAAAAGTTTCAGGTCAAGTGCAGGAATTCGTATCGATGTATTCATAGTGGTTTCGTTGGCGGATCCAGCTAGCTGGTCCACCAAAACCTTGCATTTCGCAGTACACTGGCGCCCATTCGGATACAATAGGCTGTTCTTGGATCAGTACAGATGAGGCTTATACAGTGCTACAGTGACAGATGCAGTGACAGATGAGGCTTATACGGTGCTACAGAATGGGCACGTCCTTTGCTACAGGGGCTTGGCAGACAGAAGAGAACTGGGAGTGGGGTTCCTAATTCACAGAAACATAGCTGGCAACATAGAGGAATACTATAGCATTAATGAAAGAGTGGTAGGTATCGTAATTAAACTGAATAAAATATACAAGATGAAGGTAGTACAGGCTTACGCGCCTACATCCAGCCATGATGACGCTTCAGTTGAAAGCTTCTATGAAGACGTGGAATCGGCAATGAGTAAGGTAAAAACACAGTATACTATAGTGATGGGCGACTTTAATGCAAAGGTAGGGAAGAAGCAGGCTGGAGACCAGGCAGTAGGAGATTATGGCGTCGGTACTAGAAACGCCAGAGGAGAGCTACTAGTAGAATTCGCAGAACGCAATAATTTGCGGATTTTGAATACCTGCTACCGAAAACGAGAAAACCGCAAGTGGACATGGAGGAGCCCTAATGGCAAAAATAAGAACGAAATAGACTTTATAATGAGTGCACACCCTGGAATCGTGCAAGATGTGGAAGTGATTGGCAAGGTACGATGCAGTGACCATAGAATGGAACGGTCTCGAATTCGCCTAGACTTGAAGAAGGAACGGCACAAACTGATACGCAAGAAGCCAATAAATCAGCTAGCACTGAGAAGGAAAGTACAGGAATTCAGAGTGTCGCTGCAGAACAGGTACTCGGCTCTTAGTGAGGAAACCAACCTTAGCGTAGATACAATGAATGATAATCTGACGAGTATCATTACGGAGTGTGCAGTGGAAGTTGGAGGCAGGGTAGTTAGACAGGATACTGGCAAGCTTTCCCAGGAAACGAAGAACCTAATTAAGAAGCGTCAAATCATGAAAGTGTCAAGTACAACAGACAAAATAGAACTGGCAGAGCTTTCGAAGTTGATTAATAGACGTAAAGTATGCGATGTAAGAAGGTATAACATTGAGAGAATTGAACGCGCTCTGAAAAACGGAGGAAGTGTCAAAGCATTGAAGAGGAAACTTGGGATAGGCAAAAGTCGGATGTATGCACTAAGGGACAAAGAAGGCAAAATAACTACCAATATGGATAGGATAGTTAAAATAGCGGAGGAGTTTTACAGAGATCTGTACAGTAGCCGAGACAACCATGACCTTAATACTATAGGAACTAGCAGTAACCCAGATTACACCCCACCAGTAATGATAGAAGAAGTCAGAAAAGCTTTGGAGAGCATGCAAAGGGGCAAGGCTGCTGGTGAGGATCAGGTAACATCAGATCTGCTGAAAGATGGAGGACAGATTGTGTTAGAAAAACTAGCCACCCTGTTTACGAGGTGTCTCCTGACGGGAAGGGTACCAGAGTCTTGGAAGAACGCTAACATCATCTTAATACATAAGAAAGGAGATGACAAGGACTTGAAGAATTACAGGCCGATCAGCTTGCTCTCTGTAGTATATAAGCTATTTACAAAGGTAATTGCTAACAGAGTAAAGAAAACATTAGAATTCAATCAACCAAAGGAACAAGCAGGATTTCGAACAGGCTACTCAACAATTGACCACATTCATACTATCAGTCCGGTAATAGAGAAATGCTCAGAGTATAACCAACCCCTATACATAGCCTTCATAGATTACGAGAAGGCGTTTGATTCAGTAGAAATATCAGCCGTCATGCAAACACTGCGGAATCAGGGCGTAGATGAAGTATATTTAAACATTCTGGAAGAAATCTACAGGGGATCAACTGCTACCATAGTGGTTCATAAAGAAAGCAACAGAATACCAATCAAGAAGGGTGTAAGGCAGGGGGACACAATTTCCCCAATGCTATTTACCGCGTGCTTACAGGAGGTTTTCAGAAGCCTAGAATGGGAACAGTTAGGGATAAGAGTCAATGGAGAATACCTTAGTAACCTGCGCTTCGCCGATGACATTGCATTGCTGAGTAACTCGGGGGACGAATTGCAACTAATGATTACGGAGTTAGACAAGGAGAGCAGAAAGGTGGGTCTTAAAATTAATCTGCAGAAAACGAAAGTAATGTACAACAACCTCGGCAAGGAGCAGCGCTTCGAGATAGGTAATACTGCACTTGAAGTTGTGAAAGACTATGTCTACTTAGGGCAGGTAATAACCGCAGAGCCGAACCACGAGATTGAAGTAACTAGAAGAATAAGAATGGGGTGGAGCACATTCGGCAAGCACTCTCAAATTATGACAGGTAGTTTGCCACTATCCCTCAAGAGGAAGGTATATAACAGCTGTATCTTGCCGGTACTTAGCTACGGAGCAGAAACCTGGAGACTTACAAAGAGGGTTCAGCTTAAATTGAGGACGACGCAGCGAGCAATGGAAAGAAAAATGGTAGGTGTAACCTTAAGAGACAAGAAGAGAGCAGAGTGGATTAGGGAACAAACGGGGGTTAAGGATATCATAGCTGAAATCAAGAAGAAGAAATGGACATGGGCAGGGCATGTAGCGCGTAGACAGGATAACCGCTGGTCATTAAGGGTAACTGACTGGATTCCAAGAGAAGGGAAGCGGGTTTGGGGGAGACAGAAGGTTAGGTGGGCAGATGAGATTAAGAAGTTTGCGGGTATAAATTGGCAGCAGCAAGCACAGGACCGGGTTAACTGGCGGAACATGGGAGAGGCCTTTGTCCTGCAGTGGACGTAGTCAGGCTGATGATGATGATGATGATGATGATGATGGATCAGTACAATATGCATAAAAGTGAGTAAGGCGAGACAAGGACGAAATTTGTGCTTTTTAAGTTTTTTCAGAGCTTTTACTACGCTTAGAGAATCTAGGTATATTATTGAATTCTGTAGCTTTATTTATTTATTGTGTTTATTGGCCGCCAGTATCACCTAAGTTTGCCCGTGAAAATGCTTGTATCAGAGTGCAGAACGCCGGCTCCCGAAAAGGATGGGCCGACGGCTGCGTACGAAATAGAAGCATTATATTTTGAGGCACCCGTAAAAAACTCAGGACACGTGTACTTATGTTGTAGTTCTAAGAAGTATGTCTGGATATTTCCAATTGATGCATGCTTCGTAACCTCCAAAAAAGACACGTCGCAATCTGTCGCCTGCCATTGCCAAGGTGGCAGGCATACAGTGGGAGTCATCAAATGGTGTTCAAGCGGCATACTGGTTCTCTTCGCTAGGCCTCTCACACGGAGTGAGTAGGGCTGTCTCATAGATGGCCGTTTTTCTAACACAGCGTAACTTGAGCAGTCA